TCCGCTGGAAAGATCGTACACCCACCGAAGACAACTGGGTTCCCTTGGTCAGAGTCGAAAACCACCCCGTGCTCACCGAGTTTCTGCGCAGCCGAAACTTCAGGGATGTACACGCGCTTTCGTAAGGAGGACTTCCTTTTGGGGGGGGGGGGGGGGGGGGGGGTAGTGTAAGGAAAATTCATTTTCCTTACTTCGCGTCCCCGCTCAGCGCGTACACCACTGTAGCACCACAGTCGGCACCGTTACCACTCGCAACCCTCGCATCGACAATCTTCCCACCACCTTCGCACGTCGCACCCCGACCTCACGGCTCGGCGGGTAACCCGTGCTCCGGGCCTCTGCTTCGACATTTCCCCAAACCTCAGTCCCAGGCCCGTCGCACGACAACCACAGTCCATTACCGTTACCACTGTAGTTTCACTATATATTCTTCGCTCATGCCTTCGCTCATTCTACTCTTTGCTTCGATAGTCGATCACTCCAATTGCACTCGTAACACTCACCAAAATAAGGCCGCAGTCAGAAGTTTGCCTACCATCCGAAGTCTTCCCACGCGGCTCGAAATGTTGGTTTTGCAATTTATTCATTTTTCAATTTTTGCCCACGCGGCTCGACCTCAGGCCAACCGGCCACGGTCGCAGCTCTCTGCCTGCTCGTCAATGTACGACCTCATCGATTGGTGGTTTGGGGGGTTGTGCTTTCGGAGAGTCTGGTTACGTGCTACTTGCTGTTTGAAAGTCTTGACTTGCGCGACCTTGAGGCATGGCCGTTTGGTTATTACCTGACGATATTCATCGCACCTTCTTCGTGCGAAAACGATTCGGTTGGACACCTGTCATGTGATTCGGGCGACTTCAGTCGCCCGCCAAAAGCAGGTTTGGTGGCCAAAGTGGGGCCCTGCCCCACCCGGACACCATCAGCCCCGGAAAAGTTCTGATGGTGGGCAGACTTCATTGTGGGCAAACTTCAGAATGCGCTATAATACGGATGTCCCGGTCCGAAGTGCAGATGTCCCGAAGCCAGGCATCCGCCCCCAGCAGAAGGCGACTGGGCCGACTTGCGGAGTCGCCAGATTTGGTCAAAGGCGGCGTCGAATACCCAGGGATGGCTCTCGTTTCAGCCAGGTACGGGATGCTGACCAAACCAGCTGGCTGTCCCCAGTGAAACATCCCTTCTGTCGCCTTCATGTCAGTACAGCACCATTTTGAATTTCAATACACGAGTCCACCACAGCAAACCAGACTGTACACAAAGAGATTCGGTAGTAGTCAACCGCCGTCGCAAAACATTTCATGTCTGGAAAGCCGACCAGCTGGCATGCTCTGTAACAACCACCCTGAACCACACGATGGAGCCGCGGCACATTTCTCTGCTGAACCTAGACCACCTCAACGACCCCCTCCATACCATGCCACAAAGCACGCAAAGCCCATCCGAACCACAATTCCCCGGTTGCCCATACCACTCCCCACCACACCTACCCCACTATACCACATCTGATCAGAACTCCCGCTACTCCCTTCCCTCTAACTGGCTCCTGCACTGGAAAGCTGTAAATTCGTCGTCTCAATCCGCCTCCAGACGCAGATTTCAGTAGTCTCGCATTCGAATATCACCCCTACTTACTCGACCGTCGAAACATTATCACAACTGCCGCTTACACGGCCCGAACCTCCGGCGGGCGCCTGCCAGCTGATGAAAGACAGCAGCTGTAATGCCTTCGCAACCTGATCCCGCGGTGCGTCACGCGATGCTTCGCCACTGCTTCCAGTTGTCACCACGTGCGCGCCGGAGACCAGTCCTCGAAGGGCTCGTCGGACCGCATCAGCCGCCATTAACCGTAGCAACTCCATCAAAAAGGCTTCCATCGAGTAGAATACCCGTACTCGTGCTTCTCATCCTCAGCTTAAACACTGCTCGCGTCGACGGCGACGGTTGTGCGCCGATCGCTGGTAGCAGCACTGCTGCGGATGGCATCCGCGGCGAAGCTTCCATCAGCGACGCGATTGCTGCTTCTTTCAAGGCGCGAGCGACGCGGGCGTCAAGAAAGACGCAGAAGCCGGGGGCAGTGCGCCTCGTGCTTTTGAGAAACAACTCGCTCGGCGCCAAATGCCTCGACGGCAGGTGAGTGCGTTCGAGGGGAAGGGGGTGGCAATGTGGGAGAAAGGCAGAGGGAAAAGAAGGAGCTTTCGTGTGGGTAGCGTCAGTCGCGGCGGCTCCCGACGGGAAGAGTAGTGGATCATTTCCTCCTTATCGCTATAAGCGCCATTCGGTAGTCATGATGACAGTTTCTCTGATTTCCGGAAAACGCGGCTTTGAAAGGGAATCATAGGATTGGCCTTGTCAAGAGAGAACACGAGCATCGAAAAAGCATCGTCCGAAGAGTTTCTAACCTCGACAAAATGTCGAGAGAACGTCGAACGTCGACGAAATCGAAAACGCCGCATTGCTCATTCGAAATAATGTTAAGGAATTGTTCCCCATCCGATGGGCCCCTCGCAATTCTGGGACATCATCCATCGCTCTCCCGTCATGATCCCGCCCGTTTCCCTCACATCACATCATGTGATGGCCATCAAAATGTCAGAAGGAAAAGGAATGAAAAAACATTTCACGGGGATTGTTTGATGTTTTCCCCTGCCATCAATGCTTGTGGTTTATCATGATGAGTGCTGAACAGTTGAGGTATGTTCGAGGAATCATAACAACGTGTGCATGTGCAAACTTGAGTAGGCTCGGCAAGGAGTGCTTCAGCACATCGCGAACATTGCTCATCCTCACTATATCAACCAGGAGAACATTTACAATAAGTTACTATAGCGGATCAATGATCACATTCCATGCTCTCAATAGGAGAAAATACAAGCGCTTGTATTTTCTCCTATTGAAAGCATGGAATATGATCATTAAAACAGTTTAAACTGGAAATCACATATTACAGCCTGCCAATTGGGTGCCAATATCCAATCGTGACACTCATGAATTAGGTTTCTGCTAACACTTGTAATGGTTCCTCATGTCTTATATTTGAACTCAACATTACAACGATGACAGCCATCGTCACAAGACCTAGCCTGCCTTACCAATTTATAAAAAGAAGAAAAAACCTAACATCCTAGATAAATACCCCCGCACAACAAATCCACACACAATATTTGTAACATCCCGATACGAGTAGCTTATTTCGGACCGGAAGCGGGCTCTGCACCGAGCACCAACACACACAGCAGAGATAAGTTAGAAAAATGACTCCTGTGACATGAACCTACCAATCATGTATGCCGTTTATAAGCTCCGCCCTGCACCGCAGGAAGCACCTCCAGAAACCGTGATAAACTCGGCGATAGATTGGCGATTCAACTTCTCGAAAAATAAAACTGTTACATGGCCAATAATATTCACGGACGCTTGACGATAGTCTCGGAAATCGCTGATGTAGAGCCTTGTGATGAGCCCTAGCATTCTGCAAAGAAAGAGGTGCTCAAAAGGTCGCATTAGCCAATGCTTACGTACCTGGAACAGAAACTCACAAGAATGGACCGGCATGCGTAGGGTGTGAGAAGGTAGCGTAATAACGGGTTTCATGCAGCCATCACAGCACTAATTGTCCACCACCCCGGACTTTCGATATCCTGCTAAAGAGAAGGTGTAAGAACAGGAAATAGGGACATATGTTAGAAACGGGGCCAATTGGGAGGAACGGATAGACACGAGAAGCCACAGCACCGTGCTAGATAAGCAAGTGAAGAGAATGGAGAATGAGATCGTGCAAGAGAAAAACAACGCATATTGAGCTATGGGTGGATTTTGACTAGCTGAGGGAGGGAAAAGCATCTCGCACACCAAATGTTGGCGACTGGGTTTGCGAGATCGTCAAAATCTCGTGTGGGTTGGAATGTACCACTGCTAGAGGGTTCAGACAGGCCACAACGAAGCTAGGCGAAAAACGGAAACCCTAATCGGTCTGAGTTTCTGTTCGCGAGGATGTCTAAACCAATCCGCGCTGTCACATCCATTTGTGACACCACACCTTCAGAGTGACACTGTTTCTGACGAGTCAGCAACATCTTATCTGGTTCATGACTCGCTATAGGTGCGTTTGCTATAACGCCAGGGAATTTCTGCAGATGCGATTTTAGATCCCAGGTTCAAGCAAATTCTGTGGGCTTGGTGTTGCGCAAGGAAACCACCCGACATCCAGCAGAACCGAAATGGATTCGCTGTGTGAATCGAAATTGGCACGTGCGGGGCTGGTTCGATTCGAACTGCTAGACGTCGTGGGATACAATGGGGAAGGGGGGACATAGTTTTTGAAAAGTGATCCATGTTTCAGCAATGCGTACCCTCCTCAACAATGTTTCAAGTAACCCTAGTCATTGCTTGTTCAATAGTCTGTGCGCAAAGATTGGGAAAACCCAGTTTTGGGCATGGGCTGTGGTGTCACACATTTTGTCCCGGGACAAAGAGCACACAACCCTACCCTCCCTTGTAACACGTCCTCGGCCTTAAGGCCACCCACGCGCCACCTGCAGCATGAACCGTGGGTAGTCCAGCACGGTGCGGCTCTGCTCTGCTCTGCAGCGACACAGTTTATCACCCACTCTTTTGCCTTGCCCCATCTCCACTACATGGTTTCGCATCCTACCGCATGAGCCACCCACCCGAATGCCTCACCTCATCCTCTCTCTTCCTCCATTCCTCCCTCGCCGTTGCCCTCCGTTCCCGTCCAGTCCTCCGGGGTACTACATCCGGCGGGGAAGGGGGGCGGGGCGGGCGAACTGGCACGTGCACCTGCCGGTGGGCGCGTGGTGCGGCGACGAGCGCAGCTGTGCCAAGCGGTCGCTCAACCTCCTCGGCTCATCCACCCCGTGGGCCGCCGAGGCTGCTGCTGCTTCTGGCCGCGGCAGCAAGGTCAGTGACTCACTTGGAATAACTATGGGCCAGTTTCGGGAATTCCAATCAATCAACTGATACATGGTTGGTTGGTACGAGGTGGGGAGATGGGAGGTCGGGAGATGGGAGGTGGGGAGATGGGAGGTGGGGAGATGGGAGGTGGGGAGATGGGAGGTGGGGAGATGAGAGGTGGGGAGATGAGAGGTGGGGAGGTGAGACGTGGGGAGATAAGAGGTGGGGAGATGAAAGGTGGGGAGGTGAGAGGTGGGGAGGTGAGAGGTAGGGCGATGGGAGACGGAAGTGGTCCAAACTTTGATTGGGCGATGGTATCGCTATGATATCTCATCATCCCCACCCTGTATTCCCCCAACTTTCACTGACGCCCTCTTGCTCCCTCCCACTCCCCACCATCAAGTCTTGTAAACCCCATACCCCAATCCTCTCTTTCCGACCCTCCCACTGCTTACCTTTCCATCCCTAGTCTCCCTTCTCTCCTTTCCCCCCTCAATCCCTACCCTCCCTTGTCTCCCTCCCTTCCCTCCACCTCCCTGCCCACCTGTCCTGTCCTACCTGGGCTGCTATAAGCCAGAAGCAACCCAGCCCACACCACACAGGTTCCCCAAGCCAAGCCTGGCATGCATTCACTGCATGGGACCTGCCACCTGGTGTGCCTGATGGTGTGGTGTGGTGTATGTAATGCGAGCAAAATCACAAGGCGAACACTGAACGTTCGTCAAGGAAAACAGAAGGGAGTGAGGGGCGAAAAGGGAGAGCAGAAGCTAGTCGCTCGAGCCGCCCCAAAGCGCACCCCCGGCCCCCCTTCCCGCCTCCCTCGTCCCCACTCCCTCCTCCCTCCCCTCAATCCACCTTTCCCACCTTTTCCACCTCTGCTCCTCCGTTTGTCATTCCCGTGCTGCATTCCCTCTTCTTCCTTTTGTGCCTTCCCCGTGCTTCCTTTTCCCACCCGAGAAGGTATACCCCGCGTTTACTGGGCTGCTATCCAGCAGCGCAGCAGTCAACCCGGCCTTCCACGCGTGGAACCTGGTGCGCCTGGTGTACTGCGATGGGGGCGGGTACACGGGCACGAGAGGGCGCATAGAAGTGGCAGGAAACAAGAGCTTGTACCTGGACGGGTGGAACATCGTGCAGGCTGTGCTGAAAGGTGGGTGGTTGAGGGTGGATGAGACGTTGCTGGCATGGCAAGGAAAGGAACCTAGTGCGGCTCGTTAAGCGTTTAGGTACTGCAATGGGGGCGGGTACACGGGCACAAGAGGGCCTGAGACGTGGCGGGAAACAAGAGCTTGTACCTGGACGGGTGGAACATTGTGCAGGCGGTGTTGCAAGGTGGGTGGCTCATGCTTCATGGCTGCTTACTCGCATGGGGGTGGAATCTGGTGCGCCTGGCCTGGTATACTGCGATGGGGGCGGGTACACGGGCACCCCGGGGGCAGGTGGCAGGAGCTTGTACCTGGAGGGGTGGAACATCGTGCAGGCGGTGCTCTGCAAGGTGAGGGCATGATGATGGAAGTGACGTCGGTACGGTACGGATGCGAGGAGGGTAGACAAGGATTGCCTTGGTTTCTTCTGCAGCACCTGACTGTGTCCAGGCATGTCAGTAACCCCCCTCATCCTCCCTCCTCCCTCCTCCCTCTTCTCTCCTCCCTCCTCCCCCCTCCCTCCTCCTTCGGCCTTAATCTCTCCTCCCTCCTCCTCGTCACCACCACCGCCTCACCCGTCCCCACGCAGACCGGAGGGAGAAGAGGGGCATGGCAGCAGTGTCGCGCATCCTGTTGTGGCGTGTGCCATTGTAACGACGTGACCTTAGAGTCGACTCAAGAGTCCCCTCCTCCTCGTCACCATCGCCTCACCCATCCCATTCAGATCTGAGGGAGAAGAGGGGCATGGCAGCAGCATCGCGCATCCTGCTCTCGGGCAGTTCAGCAGGCGGGCAGGCAGTGGTGATGCTGTGTGACCGAGTGGCTGCTGCCTTCCCTGCCGCCTACACCAAGTGCTTCTCAGATGTAGGCTTCCTTGCTGGTCAGTGCTGCTGCTGCTGCTGCTGCTGCTGCTGCTGCTGCTGCTGCTGCTTGGAAACGCCCAACCAGCATTTTCCTGTCGTTGCCAGCACACGCTCTACTTCCCTTACCTCTGCAACACCCAAATGCTGTGTGCATCCATGCATCTCTCGCACTATTGCGCATGCGATGCGCCAAACAACCCTTCGCTCTCTCATCCACCCTGCCCCGCCCGCCCCTCTCACGTGCGGCAGATGCCAAGGACCAGTTCGGGCAGTACCGGTGACGTGGCGGGGCAACGTGCAGCAAGTGACCTCTGAGTCGACTCAAAAGTCACCCCTCCACTCTCTCGCCCACCCTGCCTGCCCCCTCCCGCCCCTCTCACGTGCAGACGCCAAGGACCGGTTTGGGCAGTACCGGTGGCGGGACAGCGTGCGGCAACTGGCGGCCTTCCACCAGATCAACATCCCCCCCTGCCCTAGAGGTACGCCCTTAGACCCGGCCAGCTCAGCTCATCAGAGTGGCAACGTTTGAGTCATTTAAAACACGACGCGACTCTTGAGTTTACGGGAAAGTGCAGCAAGTGGCGGCCTTCCACCAGATCAACATCCCCCCCTGCCCTAGAGGTACGCCTTTTGACCCGGCCGGCTCATGAGTGCGGCAACTCTTGAGTCTTGAAAAAAACGATGTGAGTTTTGAGTTGACTGGAAAGTGCAGCAAGTGGCGTCCTTCCACCAGATCAACATCCTCACCTGCTCTAGAGGTAGGCTGCACATGCACGCACACAGACCAGTGATATACACGCACTGGTGCCGCCACACGCACTGGTGCTTTACATGAATGGACCGCAATCATCAATCCTTCCAGAAGATACTTCACCATCTGGCTTGCAAGCAGTTGTATGGCTTCTCTGCGCCGCATCCCATGGCCCGCACGCGTCACCTCGCCCCATGCCTTTCCTTCCACGCCCAATTGATGCCTGCCAGCCATCACATACTTGCCACATCACATCAGAGGGCACCTGGACGCCACGTGATAAAAGAAGTGTGTTGAGACGTCCAGAAACGTCTCATTTCAAAACACTTCTTCTATCACACATCACCGGGAACCTGGACGCCACTTTGGCATGCACTCTCTCTCACGCCCTTCATAACATTCGTTCCTTTTTCCCGGCATCCCATCCCATCCCATCCCATCCCATCCCATCCCATCCCATCCCATCCCATCCCATCCCATCCCATCCCATCCCATCCCATCCCATCCCATCCCATCCCACCCCATCCCATCCCATCCCATCCCATCCCATCCCATCCCATCCCTACCCATCCCATCCCATCCCATCCCACCCCACCCCACCCCACCCCACCCCACCGCAGGCGCCTCAGACTCCTGGATGTGCTTCTTCCCTCAGTACGCCCTGCCCACAGTAACCACCCCCATCTTTGTCTACCAGGCTCTCTTCGACCTCGTTCTGATACCATTTGGTAACCAGCTGGGGCCAAACACCTCATACAACGCCAAGTGTCTTAGAGATGAGCTGTTTCAGCAGCGGCCGAATGTGAGCCTGATAGTGGAGAGGAGATCGTGGGACCAGGTGACGTGGCGGGACCAGTACTGTACGCAAGAGGAGCGACTGGCGCTGCTCAGCATGGCGTCTACAGTGTACAGTGAACTTCGGAATATAGTCAAGGGGGATAAAAGCACGGTTGGGGCGTATATTGTGAATTCCGTGACCCATGCGGTGATTCACTCGAGTGCTTGGAGCTCGTGCAATGTGAGGGGGATGCGGCTCAGGTCGGTGTTTACCAACTGGTATCTCGATTGGAGCAAGCAGAGTGTATTCATTCACGGTTAAATACTAGAAGTACCTGTACCTGTACTGCACCTGGCCATGAATGTTGTTTTGTTACCGGAACGTTAACAGAAGAGTGGTATTGGATAACTGAACTTCGTCGCGCTCGTTTCAGTTGATGACATGACACCCCACAAGTTAACAACCTCAAAAGCACTACTGGTGTGTGTTCCATGCCTCATTACTGTTGGCTGGCTGGCAGAGTCCATGAGGGAGCAAGTTACGGTACGGCAGTGGGATAAAAATATGATGACAAATGTCCAAACACAATCAAGCCTGATTTAGAGAACTAGCCAACACTCCAGCAAAACAAATGAACCTTACTTGACAATACCATAGCTATGCTAAAGAGCCGGTGGGAGCTGGTGAGAGCCGGTGGGAGCTGGTGAGAGCTGGTGGGAGCTGGTGAGAGCTGGTGGGAGCTGGTGAGAGCGGGTAGGACCCTGCTGGTGCAGCGCGGGCGTGTGTCAGATGTCAGCACAAGATTCTGCTGAATTGGCTCCACAGACCGCAGAATGGCACTGACTATTAAGTGCCACTTCTGTAAGTGGTTGAGAGGGGTGGTGCAGGGTGGTTGTGAAGCGAGGAGGAATGTGCCACGGAGGGAGTGGTGAGGAGCCAAATAGTACGTGCTTCTGTTCAACATGAGCCACAGTTGACTTTTGAGTCGACTCAAAGCCAACTCGGAGGGAGTGGTGGGGAGTCAGTCAGCATGACCCACAGTATCAGAGTCTGTATCACTGAGACAGTAGGTAAGTAGGTAGGTAGGTAGGTAGGTAGGTAGGTAGGTAGGTAGGTAGGTAGGTAGGTAGGTAGATAGGTGGGTAGGTGTATAGGCAGGTTGGTAGGTGGGGAAGTAGGTAGGTAGGTAGGTAAGTAGGTAGGTAGGTAGGTGGGTAGGTAGGTAGGTAGGTAGGTAGGTAGGTAGGTAGGTAGGTAGGTAGGTAGGTAGGTAGGTAGGTGGGTAGGTAGGTAGGGAGGTAAGCAGCTAGGTCGGTAGCTAGGTTGGTCAGTGTGCGGAGCACTTGTGCTTGTGCGTAGTTGCTCAGTGGTGGTTGGTAGGCCGCATTGCTCTACATCTCAGCGTGTGACGAACGTTTACTTGAGAGCAGGATGTGTCGTGTGCAACATGCAGTATCAGTCGGTTGGCAGGTGAGGGGTGTGAGGGGTGTGAGGGGAGTGTGTCAGGGCGCGGCGCACTTGTACTTGAGCAGGTTGCGCCACTAGTCTTTGAGGTCCACTGCCGTGCGCGAGGGGTGCAAGCGGTACCAGCCGTGCTGCAGAATGAGCTTCCACTTGCCACCCGCCGCCCTGTGCCTCTCCATCAGCTCCTGAAGGATGCAAGGAGAGAGTGCGGGGGGGAGGGAGAGCGGGAGATAGTGTGCGTGTAAGGAATTGCAACAAGGAGGCAGACACAGGGGAGGAGAGCTGTGCGGGTGGAGTATCGACAGTGGAGAGGTGATAGTGTTGAGGAGTGAACAAGGAAAGAGGGATTCATGTAGGGTAAAGGGTGGGTGCCAGTGGTGAGACCACATGGTCGAAAGGGCATGTGTGTGACTGTGTGAGTGTGAGAGTGCTTGTGTGTGCGTGCGTGCACGCGTGTGTCTGCAAGCAAGCGTGTGTGTGTGTGGGTGCATGTGTGTGTATGTGTGTGCGTGTGTGTGCGTGCATGTGTGTGTGCATGCGTGTGTGTGTGTGTGTGTGTGTGTGTGTGTGTTTGTGTGTGCGTGTGCGTGTGTGTGTGTGTGTGTTTGTGTGTGTGCGTGTGTGTGTGTGTGTGTGTGTGTGTGTGTGTGTGAGTGTGTGTGCGTGGATGTGCGTGTGCGTGCACACACTGACACCGCAGGGGCATACCAACAGCCATTCTTCCTCCTCGTCTGTCCACCTGCGCTCCGCTCGCCGCCTGTGGGCAGCTGGAGCGGCGGGAGGGGCGGCGGCAGCAGCAGCAGCAGCAGCAGCAGCGGTTCGAGGCGAAGGTGCATCAGGAGCTGTGCTAGGGCGAGGAGCAGCAGCAGCATCATCAGCGGCAGAAGTGACCTCCTTGCCTCGACCCTCTGAACTAGCCTTCCCTCTCAATCACGCTGCCCTCCTCACGACGATACGGAGCACTAGAGGGAACAGAAGTGACCTCTGAGTCGACTTTACAAGAACAATAATGACAATGGGATATCTAGAGGAAGAAGAAGTGGGGGATCAGCGCGTGGTAGCGAATTCGCGTTGCCGCATCGCCGGCCAATCACGGGGAGACGCACCAGCACACAGCATCATCGTCACGTCGATTGAGCAAACACGCCTCCTTTGGGAAAGCCAAGAAAATCCAGCTCCCCCCGTCTTCGCGTGAACCAGAAAAACGGAAAGGCTAATAGCATTCGAGCTGACTTAGAGCTGCTCGGTACTCACTCTCGAGGCGCAGCGAAGGTGCGGCTCTGCAAGCGGCTTAAAACTCTTAGAGTGGAATTGTATCGTAATGAAGTATAATCTACCTCGGAAGAGCCTGGGCGACATGCAGTGAGCCACGCTAAAGTATGCCGCCACCCATGCGGCTACTAGTTCCCTCGACGCTGCTGCTGCTGCTGCTGCTGCGGTGGCGGCGGCGAGCACGAGAAACGCGCGCTCGCCGCATCCACGGGCGTCGTAACCATGGCTGCGCGACGCTCGAAGATGGCTGCGCGCTCGCCGCATCCACGCGCGTCGTAGCCATGACGGTGTACGGAGAGCGAAACGACGGTGGCTGGTTGTGTTGGACTGAGTGGTAGGGGTGCTGGGCGTCTGCAACGTTGAAACGTTGAATTTTCTCTCAGAGAATTTCACAGTTGTATTTAGGCTTTTGATTGAGCCCTGCTGGTGTGGTAGGCCCGAGGCGCGAGGTAGGAGGTTTGGCTAGGCTGGTCAGGCTTGGCAAAACGTAGAGGGAGCGAATGTTTGAAAATCTGGGGTTTGGTTCAGGTTTGAGAGTCGAGATGACAGGGGAGCTAGGGAAGGATTCAGGTTCGGCTTCAAATTTTTGGCGCGCAGCCTGAGGTGCGACCCTCTTACGCTCCCGCGCTTTCCCGAGGTCTTGTTGTCGAGCCCAATGTTGCATGTTTTCATCCCCGATGTGACTCTACCGAGCCGGTTCGACCCGAAATTTTGAAAGTCTACACGTACTCGATAAACTTCATCACAAGCACTGTTCGATACAGAATTCGGAAATTCAAAACCAGACCGCCGAACACCACGGTAGATCTGGAGTATAGGCAAACGACAGCCAAGCTACACAGACGAGCCAACCCTTCGAATATGAATTGCCGAATACTTCACTTGCCAGGATGATGAGGTATTTGCTTTGTAACTAGTACATTCGCCTAGCAGCCACACTAAGGCATCCAGATACGGCAACCCCCCGTCGCGCTTCGTCTGTTCGCGTTCTCGTCCCCGTAATCAATACATGCTGGAAGGCAAGTACACAGTTAGCGTAAGTCTCCACCTCAACGTACCATTTATTTTCCTCCGAAGCTCTACCCGGCACTGCACTTGGCAATTTTTGACTGGAACTAGACCGTACTGTTGCATTCGACTTGCCGGTTCAACGCCTCGTGTTATGTGAACGCGGCGCCGTGGAGCACGCGTGAACACGTGGCGCCATGGTACTGGAAAGTTACCTGTTTAGGTTCTACTAAGTTCGATCAATCCATCAGAGTAGCACTCTGAGCATTCTCATCCCAGTTAACGATTCCCGTTGATTCCAAACCGCCATTGCCGCCGTTCCTCCTCTACCCTTTCCCTAGACTACGCGTCGTACCATTCCATTCGAGTAGCTCTAGTCTAGACCCTACCGTTGAATTCCTGGGTTCCAAGGCCCTCGTTTAGTTTCGACGCGCCTTAGCCCTCAGCCGCGTGGGCGCGTGGCGCACGACGCGTGGGCGGCGCGTGAGTGCGGCACGTGGCGCTATGGTACTGGAGAAGGACCTGTTTCGGTTCTACGAGCGGCTCAAGGAGTCGTGCGCGCGCAGCGGTGACCACACGTTGCACGTCTTCGTCGCCGGCATCTACGTCGACTCCGCCGTCGCGCTCAAGATCCTCACGGTACGCGCCTGCCGCCTGCCGCTCGCCGCCCGCCGCCCGCCTCCCGCCGCACCCCACCAGAAACTTTTAAGTAAACTGAAAAGTCGCCGGCGCGCTCAAGGTCCTCACGGCACGAGCACGTGGCCGTCGCCCGTTGCTTGTTGCAAGGGTGGTGGAGGATGAGGAGTGAGAAGCTAGGGGAAGCGCGAAGGGAAGACGAGTGATATTGAGTCGTTCCCCGTAAATTCCGTTTTGGAGCCGCACCGCAAATCCACCCATCATCCATTTGCGTGATTGAGCGCGGAGAGAAGATTGGTGTGCTTGATAGGGTGCGAAACGACCGAGTCATCATTCTACCCAACCCTGCTGCTGCGCCCGTTTTCCCTCCTCTTCTGTTTCCGCTGCTCTTCCACTGCTTTTCCGCAATCCTTCTTCTGCCCCTTCCTTGCTCTTCCGTTTGCTTATGTCTTGTCCCCAACAGGACTTGCTACGAGCTGACTCGCTACAGTACTCGGTGTTCCCCGTGTATGGCTATGATGACATCACCGCACATGCCAGCAAGGCTGCGGCTGGTAACCAGGTCAGTGCGCGCTCCTCCCTACCACATGCCATCCCACATGCGGCCCTGCCAAACATTCACACGATCTGCCTCCGCCCCAAACCCCGTACCCTCTCACCTGTCCCCCATCCCCTTACACGCCTTCATCCTCCCATTCGCCACTCCCCGTTCTTTATTCCCCGTTCCCGTATCCTCAACTGGAGGGCCTGTGTGGGCTTCTGGCAGACTTCGCTTCTGAGTCGCCTAAGAAAAACCCCAACCTCACATGAAACCCTCTCGTTCACTCCCTTCTCTTTTCACTTGTCCACACACCCTCTTCCACATGCACTCCCCACCCTGTTCCCCGTCCCCCGTCCCCCGTCCCCCATTCCCCGTTCCCTGTTCCCCTCGCCCCCTGGCCAGGCGTACACAGCAGTGTTTCTCAACTGCGGGGCCACGGAGGACCTGTGTGGGCTGCTGGGAAACAGTGCTTCAGAGTCTACCAAGCTAAAATTCACCCTCATTCCCGTGTCCCGTCCCTTATTTCCCGCGTTCAACCTCCAGGCGTACACGGCAGTGTTTCTCAACTGCGGGGCGACGGAGGACCTGTGTGGGCTGCTGGGCGTGGGGCCGTCTGTGTCGCTCTTTGTGCTGGACTGCCATCGCCCCGTGCACCTCACCAACGCCGCTCTGCACAACACCAAGGTGGGATTGGGGACACCGGGATGGGTGTGGGGGGGAAGGGTGTGTGGGGGAATGGGTGTGGAGAGGGATGTGGTAATGAGTGCAGGATGGGGGCATGGGTGCTGCTGATGTGGGTCTGGGCATGGGGGATTGGCATGGGGGACGGGCATGGGGGATTGGCATGGGCAAAGCCACATAAACATGGGTTTCTGAGTATTTCTCTTTGTGCTGGACTGGCACCGCCCCGTGCACCTCAATCAACAAGGCGGCACTGCACAGCACCAAGGTGCCATCGGTGATGTGGGTGACCGTGTGGTGCGGGTGCGGGTGCGGGTGCGGTTGCGGTTGCGGGTGCAGGGGCTGGTTCCAGGGCAGGTGTGGGCGTTGGTGTGGGGATGGGTCGTGAACTCTCCAGTCCCTTCTTCCTCCTCTCGTATCCTCCTTTCCCCTTCTCCCTCCCACACAACTCGCCCCTTCTTCCTTCACCATTCTTCACTCACTCACCCTTCTGCCTCTCCCCTTTTCCCCCTCCTTCCGCCCTTCCTTCCTCCCCACCCCCTACCCTCACCCTTCCCCCACAACCCCCCCCTTCATTCCAAGTGGTACTAGCACTGTACCCTGAAAGCGAGCCAGAGGACCCCTTCTTATCCCCTTCTCTCCGTCCCCACATTTCCCCTCCGCCTCCTTTATCCCAGGTGGTGCTAGCGCAGTCTCCGGAGAGCGAGCCAGAGGACCCCTTCTTAGCGCGGATACTAGCAGACCAGGGCGCTACAGGCAGCGGCAGCGACAGGGACGACTCCCCTTGGGAATCCGATTCGGATTCCGCGTCTGATTCTGACTCGGATGGGTTTAGCCCGGGCAGAGGCCGGGGCAGAGGGGGTGGGAGAGGGGGGAGGAGACCGGGGGGTGGTGGTGGTGCGGGTGGAAGTGAAGGAGAGGATGATGATGATGATGATGATGATGGGTTTGGGGGTGGGACGGAGGGGAGGAAGAGGAGGGGGAGGAGGAGGGGGGAGAGGGGGAGGCGGAGGCGGCAGAGGGAGGAGGAGAGGGAGAGGGATCCGGCAGTGAGGGCGAGGAGGAGGGAGAGGAGAAGGGTGAGGTTGGAGTATTATAACCGCGGGTCGTTCTTTGGGCAGCCGTCGGGGTGTGTGGTGTTTGAGATGGCGCATGGCATGCGCCGAGACACCAGTGAACACCTCTGGTGAGACACAGGGGGGGGGAGAGGGAAGAGGGGGCGTGGGAGGGGGAAGAGGGGGGTTTATGGGATTTGGGGGGTTTTGGTAGAGTGAGAAAGGATGTGCAGGGTGTGTGGTGTTTGAGATGGCGCATGGCATGCGGCGAGACATGAGTAAACGCATCTGGTGAGACAGATGCCAGTAAAGAGGGGGTGTTGGGAAGGTGGGGAGGGGCGACAGGTGGGAAAAGGGGGGGGGGGTGTAAGTGGAACGGAGGGGAGAGAGGAGGGACGGGAAAATGCGGTTTTGTGTGGCATCAACTTGCTTTGCCCATCGCTTCTCCTCCCTCCTCTCCCCCCCCCCCCCCCCCCCCCCCCCCCCTCCCTTTTCCCAAGCTCGCATGTATGTCCACTGGTCCATGGCAGTCCTGTTTGTGCTCTCCCGCCCGCCCACACCCTTTGGGCTGTGCCTGCCTTGCTCTCAGGCACTTGCACTGTAACCAATCTATCAAAATCCCGTTCACTCCCATCGCCACCGCTCCCCTCCTCTCACCACCACCGCTCCCCTCCTCTCCCTACACCCTCCTCCCCCTCCTCTCCGCGGGCTTGCGTGTGTGTCCATCACAGGTCGGTTGGTGCACTCTTGTCTTGCCTCAGAGCACTGCAGCCTGCCTTTCATACATGCGCCTCTTCCTCACACCCTCCCTCTTTTGCTTCCCTTTCCCGCCCACACCCCCACATCCCAGGCTCGCATGTGCGGCCATCACGGACCAGTTCGTGCATTCTCGTCTTGCCCCTGAGCACTACACTGCCGGTTCCCTTTCATATTTGCGCTTCTTCCCTGCACCTCCCACCTCCCCTACCGTCTCAATCCCCACCCCCCCTTCCTCTCCGCAGGCTTGCGTGTGTGTCCATCACGGACCAGTTTGTGCATTCTCGTCTTGCCCCCGAGCACTACACTGCTGGCTGCCTCGACCTGGAGGAGAAGGTGGGGGCTGTGTGTGTGTGTGTGTGTGTGTGTGTGTGTGTGTGTGTGTGTGTGTGTGTGTGTGTACGTGTGTGTGTGTACGTGTGTGTGTGTGTCTGTGTGTGTGTGTGCGTGCGAGCGTGCATGTGTGTGTGTGTGTGTTTGTGTGTGTGTGTGCGTGCGCATGTGTGTGTGTGTGTGTGTGTGTGTGTGTGTGTGTGTGTGTGTGCATGTGTGTGCGTGCGTGCGTGCATGTGTACGTGTGTGTGTGTGGCGATAGGGGGAGCGACGTGGTGAGGGGTGAGTGTTTGAGGCTGTGCATCTCCTGTCCTCCCTTTGAGTGTTCACCAAGCACGATCGTGTGTTTGCGCTTTCACAATGCGTCTGCGCACTATCTACGCTTCCACACTGTCTCCCATTTCCACTCTCACTCTCCACCTCTGTCCTTCCCTTCCGCATTTCCTCCCTGTCTTTCTGCTTCCGCTCTCCCCACTCACCCTGCCCACCCCACCCCAACCCACCCTACCCCACCTCACCCTACCCCAACCCAACCCAACCGCACACCACACAGGTGACGACAGCAGCGGCCATGGAGGCGCCACGGTCAGCAGTGATGGAGGATGGCGTGTCGGTCAAGCTACCGGACATGGGCCGCATACAGTTCCAACACGAGTCAGTCCTGTTTCGCGCCCGTCCGCCCTGCCCCCGTCCGCCCTGCCCTACCCCCTCCGTTCCCCCACCACCTCTCGCTCACTTGGCTTTCGTTGACATGCCCTGATCTTTTCCGCGGTTGCACCCTTACCTGTGCTCTGTACTCACTGACTTTCCTCCTCTCCCGGCCATATTCCCCTCCACCAATCGCGTTTGCTCGCCCTAGTTTTCCCTCGCCTCCCTCCCTCCTTCTCCTCCCCTCCCCTCCCCTCCCATCTCCTCCCCTCCTCTCCCCCCTCTTCTCCCCACACCCCCCAGGCTACGGCTCATGTGCCTCCCCCGGTGGAACCTCTTTGACTCGCTGCTCTACTCCTCCTACCCCGCCACCAAGCTCAAGACCTGGACGGAGCCCGGGCTCCGGCGCCTGTCCCCATGTCTCTCTTCTCCCCTATCCTCCCCTCAATACCCTCCACGCTCCCGTCCGCTCTCCCCTCCCCTTTCTCCCATCCTCTCCTCCCCGCCTCCCTTCCCTCCCCTCTCTTCCCCCTTCCCCCCTTTCTCCCGCCCTCTCTTCCCCACCCATTTCACCCCGCCAGGCTACGGCTCATGTGCCTCCCTCGGTGGAACCTCTTTGACTCGCTGCTCTACTCCTCCTACCCCGCCACCAAGCTCAAGACCTGGACGGAGCCCGGGCTCCGGCGCCTGCGCCTGCTGCTGGGCCAGCTCGGCATCCCCCACGCGCAGGCCAAGCAGCGCTACCCCTTCATGCCCGCTGCTACTCGCAGGTTGGGTGGGGAACAATGGGGGGATGGGGACGAATGGGGGTTGGGCAAGGGTGGTTGGGGGGTTTGGGGTAAATATGGGCCAGCTCGGCATCCCCCACGCGCAGGCCAAGCAGGTGGGGTGGTTGGCGTGAAGAATAGGAGGGTGGGGAGGCGTGGTTGGGACTCGATTCAGGGTGGAGTGGTGAGGTAGCTGAACATTTTCCGCGAGGTAAGGGTTTAGTTGACTGGAAAGTCACCTCAAAAGAAAGGAGGGTGGGGGGGGGGGGGGAGAGAGGAGGGTTTGATTGGTAGTAAGTTTAGCGTTGAGAGGTGCAGCAGCTGAGCATTCTCGCATTGCAGGAGCGGACTGGAATTGCTTTATCGAGAGGAAGGTGAAGGGTTGCTGAAGGGGGGTGGGACAGGACAGAGGGGTCTGAGGTGAGGGAGGGTGCACCCTGTCACCCATTTTTTTAGTCGACTCATCACACCCAAAAATAGGCTCATCACACACTGAGGTATCGAAATCACTTTTGAGAATTCTCAAAACTGAGGTGAGGCAGGGTGCACCCTGTCACCCGTCACATCTCCTCCCGCCCAGCCCACCCATCCCATTTCTGACCACCCCCATGGGGTCTGCCCCCACAGGCTCTTCTCATCCGCACCTCTGTTCGTTCTGACATTTTTCTCCCTCAACAGTCACACTCTTGCTCCTGTGCTCTCATCATCCCCACTCCACTTCGCTGTAGCTGTTTCTTTTTAGGATTCTCGAAAAGCACCCCCTGGCGACTGTGCTCTCCTTATTCCCCCGCCCCACATCTCCAACCCCCCTAACCCCGCTCCCTCTCCTCTACCTTCATCCCCCGCCCCGCTCTCTTTCCTGTGTGCCACACTCCTGTTATCTCCTCCCTCCTCCCCTACTCCCTTCCCTCCCCTCGTCTGCCTAGCTGTTTAGTTCTGAGCAGACTCACAACAACCCTATTCCTCCGTCTCTCTGTCTGTCTGCACCCTCTCCGCCCCTCGCCCCTTTCTGTGTGTGCGCACCACTGCAGTCGCTTAAAGGACGACGTGCAGCGCTTTGGTCCGAGCCACGGGCTGTCAGACATGTGCTACCGCGCGTTCCACCGATACAACGGATACAAGTGAGTGAGCCACAGGGCGGGAGGGCGGGAGCGTGCATGGTATGGTAGGTGTATGAATGTATGTGTGTGTGTGTGTGCCTGTTAGTGCTGCATGGGCTGTCGGACATGTGCTACCGTGCCTTCCACCGATACAATGGATTCAAGTGAGTGAGCGTGTCAGGGGGCGAGTTGGGGCAGGCACACTGGCATGAGTGTGGTGTGTGTGCGATAGGTGCATGTGTGTGAGTGCGGCTAAGGCTGCACGGGCTGTCGGACATGTGCTACTGTGCGTTTCACCGATACAACGGATACAAGTGAGTGAGCGTGTCAGGGGGCGGAAGGGCGAGTGGGAAAGTGCGTGTGCGTTTGCGTGAGTGCCGTGTGCATATGGTAGGTGTAATGCATGTGTGTCTACACAAGTGCCATGTGGGCTGTCAGAGGGGGAAGGGGGAGAGTGGGAGAGGGGGAAAAGGGGAAAGGGAGAGGGGGCAAGAGGGCAGGAGGGTGTGTGTATGGCATCACAGCGCTGCTAGAAGAAAGAATTGAGCATGCACCCTCCATTGCGTGCCTCATTACCACCATGCCCGTGTGTGCTTCGTCCCCCACCACCCACCACCAGGTTCCGTGTGTCGGCATCAGACGTGGTGTACGGCATCACAGCATTGCCGCAAGGGGTCTATTTATCGTGTTCCCTCCCGTGCCTCTGTTCCCGGCCCCATTGTCACCCTGCCCGTGCCTCACGGCGTCCCACCAGGTTCGCCGAAGATAGCTCAGCGGAATCAGGTCGACGCTCGAGGAAGCTCGCTGCCCGCGGGCAAAAAAAATAAACCCCAGACGGGCATGCATCCGGTCAGGGAGCCTCAACCCTAAATGCCTGGAGGCATGGTGTTTAGGGTTGAGGCTCCCTCGGATGGCATGCCATCCGATGGGGGTTTAGTTTTTTTGCTGCCCGGGGCAGTAGGTCGACAGGTCGACACAGGTCGACAGGCTTGTCGACCTGATTCCGCTGACGTCTTCCCATGTGTCGGCATCAGACGTGGTGTACGGCATCACAGCGCTGCTGAGAGTGAGCGCGTGCTCCCTCCCTTGCGTACGCCCCCACCCCCATATATTTCGATGCCATTGTCGGGCCACACACCACCAGGTTCCACATGTCGGCATCAGACGTGGTGTATGGCATCACAGCGCTGCTGGAGAGCCACTCGCCTGCACCCACGGGGCTTGCACCCGGGGACAATGGCGCCGCACACGCTCACACCAACGACTCCTTCTGGACTGCTCTCTCCGCGCTGCACCTGTACGCCCCTCGCTCTGCTTCGCTCTCTCTGCTTCCGTCGCCCCGACTCCCTCACCTCCTGCCCTCGCCAGACCACCCACCCTCTGCTAGGCACACACAGGCAGCACCCACTCCGGCTGGGCTGCTCTCTCCACCCGCCCGTCCACCCGCCCGTCCACCCGCCCGTCCACCCGCCCATCCACCCGCCCGTCCACACCTGCCCACCCATCCACCCACACACACACATTCCACAACTTGCGTCCATTTCCCATCCCAGTTTTATCTCTACCCGTTGCCCCTGACGATTCAACGCAGGCGCGGGTGGCAGCAGCTGGAGGAGGGCATGGGATCTGGCCATCCGCATGCAGGCACTCATTCCATATCTTACGCCCGCTTCATTCCTAACCCCTCTCGCCTCGCCCCCCACGTTCCCATGGCAGGCGCGGGTGGAAGCAGCTAGAAGAGGGCATGGATCTGGCCATCCGCACGCAGGCACTCATTCCATATCTTACGCCCGCTTCATTCCTAACCCCTCTCGCCTCGCCCCTTACGTTCCCATGGCAGGCGCGGGTGGAAGCAGCTAGAAGAGGGCATGGATCTGGCCATCCGCATGCAGGCAGCGCTGGTCCGCCAGGGCAGCCTTGCCATCGCCAAGAAGGTCTGTCAGACTCACCCGTGGCGTCGGTGGTGTAGGGTGGGGCGGCGTGGGGTGGGATGGCGTGTGAATGAATGAATACACTCCGATGGTGGGGTATTGCCTCCAAACAATTGCTGGAAGTTCAGTCGACGCCCAACTCACCCTTAACTCGTTGCCTCATCGCACCCCTTTCCCTCACACACACCCCTTTCCATCACACGCCTTTCCCTCACACCCTCCCACTCCGTCCCGCCCTCCCTCTCACTTACGCCCTCCCCTTCACCCATCCGCTTCCCTCTTCCCTCCTGCCCTCCTCTTCCTTTCTACTCTTTCACACCTCATCAGGGCACCTCATCATCACCGCAGCACGTGTGGGAGGCACCGGTTCCGCCACATGCTGCTGGACGACCACAGCGCTGCCCACCTCACTCCTCTCTCCCCCCCTCCTCTCTCCGCACATTCCCCCATTCCCCCTTCCCCCCGCCCCTCTCCACACAACCCCTCAGGGCGCCATCCGCAGCACGTGTGGGAGGCACCGGTTCCGCTACATGCTGCTGGACGACCACAGCGACGCACGCCTCATTGCGCATCCCCTGGCGCTCACGCGCCTGCTGCTCTTCCTCATGGACGCACTCAAGGTGTGGTGTGGGAGAGGGAGGTAGGTCAAGAGAGGCTGGAGTTGTCTAAATTGTGTGTGAGAGAGAGCGCCTCATTGCGCACCCCCTGGCGCTCACGCGCCTGCTGCTCTTCCTCATGGACGCACTCAAGGTGGGGGGGCGGGGAAGCGAGGAAGGGGGAAGGGGTGAGGTAAACAAGGGCCAGAGGTGTCTCTAAAGTGGGGCACACCACATTGCACATCCCCTCGCGCTCACCCGCCTTCTGCTCTCCCTCACCATACTTGGTGTGACCCCATTCCATGTGACCCCATTCCATGTGACCCCATTCCATGTGACCCCATTCCATGTGACCCCATTCCATGTGACCCCATTCCATGTGACCCCATTCCATGTGACCCCATTCCATGTGACCCCGTTTGGTGTGACCCCGTTTGGTATGACCCGACTTGATGCGACTGTGAGTCTCCCAAGGCAACCCTCCATCAGGTGGGTATCGCTCCTCATCCTGCATCCCCCTCCCTCATCGCCCTCATCCGGCCCTCTGCCCCATCAGGAGCAAGGCGAGCGGCCTCGCCCCATGGTGGTGGCAGCATCACTGCCATCATCGCCATCAGCACTCATCGTCGGAGTGTCACACAAACCGAGGCTTGGCCAACTCATGGGAAAGTATGTATCCTCCACTCAACTCTCTTTTCTTGGAAGAGCCCTGCGTTTGCTAACGCTGGACTGACCCCTCCACCCAACCCCTTCCCACACCAGTGCTATCGGTAGGTGATTCCATGTACCCTTACCCTTCTGCTCCCTCCAGTTGTATGCGCCTCATTTATCATCCGGTCTCATGCCATTCTTTCCCCTCCCCTTTTTACACACTAAACCGCTTGCCTGCCTTTCCACCACCACTCCCTCCCCCTCACGCCGGCCTGCCCTCCCTCTCACTCCTCCCCCTCTTCCCACCACCCTCCCATTCACCATCAGCACGTTTGGCGTTGCGTTTGCGAGGGCAGGGGAGCGGCTGGGGGCCGCGTGTGGGTACCGGCAGGACATGTTTGAATCATCATGTGCCGTGCTGCAGCGCACACACGTCTCCCACTTCTTCCGCCACCTGGAAGAGGTCATGAATGACGACAGCGCCGATGCAGTGAACCTGGACATGGGCATGGGCTTGGGTGCAGGTATGGGTATGGATATGGGTGGGGGTGGGGCTGGGGGTGAGGGGGAGGGGGGAAGCATGGGCATGGGTGTGGGTGGGGGTGTGGGTGGGGGTGTGGGTGGGGGTGTGGGTGGGGGTGTGGGTGGGGGTGTGGGTGGAGCTGCAGGGAAACATGGTAGGGCAGGTGAGAATGGGCCGGGCTTTCGTGCTGCAGAGGGAGTTGAGGCGGGAGTTGAGGCGGGAGAGAACAATGGCAGCGGTAGAGGTGGTGATGGGAACGGGGAAGAATCCGGCGCTGCTGCCGTTGGTGCTGGTGATAGGGAAGCTGCTGCCGCTGCTGCTGATCCTGATAGTGTCGCTGGTGATGATGATGATGGTGGTGCTGCTGCTCATGCTGCTGCTCATGCTGCTGCTGCTGCTGCTGCTGATGCTGAAGGTATCCAGAAGGCCGGTGACAGTGATGACGACAATGAAGCTGATGCTGCTAATGGGATCCAGTCTGGAACTTGAGCCTTTGGTACCGTGGCATTGCATGGTGATGACATGACATGACATGACATGACATGACATCTGCACCACCACTTTACTACAGTCCATGGAATCCTTAAGCGTTACGGTACCCCTGTGTACAGGAGGGCTTAGCTTATCACCCATTGCCAGCAGGCCCCCTGGCCCCTGTCCAATCACCACACTGATTTTCTGATGGGGCACATGTACCGTTATTGTACCACCCCACCAGTTCCGCCAGAAGGGTGTGGAGGGAGCCATGTTTGGCAACAGGAAATCAAGAAACGTTTGATGTAATACCATTTTCCTAGTCTACATCATCCAAGACACGATGCCCATTATCTCAAATCAGCCATGATATACCCTAACAGCTCACTAGAAGAAAATAATCGCGAGCAGCGCCTCGGGCAAGTCCCTCAAATTGCGGCATCTCTCCAAATACACCTCCCGCAAGCTCCTCGCACTCTCCAACCCCTCGGGTAGCTCGCTCAACCTTTCGCACTTCTGCACGTTCAGCACTTGCAGCGAAGCCAGGCGAGAGACGGCTGCGGGCAGCTTGAGCAGCCAAGGCAGGTTTTTCAGCGTGAGAGAGATGAGAGAGAGGAGAGATTGCCGAATCCGTCTTCTGGTAGAGAGGAAAAGCTCTCACAGTCGGAGACCATGAGGTGCTCCAGAGAGGTGAGGAGGGTGAGGGAGGCGGGCAGCGTTGATAGCCTCGGCGCATTGTCTACGGTTACAACGCGCAGCCCTTGCATCTGCCCGAGGTCCTCGGGCAGGTTGAAAAGTTGCATGTGGGTGAGATGAAGGCGTTGGAGGTGAGTGAGGGCTGTGATCTAAGGAGGGAGCAGGGCGAGCTGGGGGAGGGTGTGGAGGGTCAAGATTCTCAGTTTCTGTAGTGTGTGGATGTTGGGTGTTGAGAGGGGGTAGATTTGGGACAAGTCAAATAGAGAAAGGCTTTCCAGGGAGGATGCAATGGGAATGGCTTTGAGAGATGGGATGTGTTCGATGCACAAGTGCTGGAGCGAGGAGAGGTGGGAGATGGCATGCTGCATGTTGCTGGTGCTATGTAGTGTGTTGGACAGGATTAGGGTTTGCAGGGTGGGTGGGAAGGGCGAGGGCGAGTGGTGCGGGGGAAGTCTGGTGAAGTTGACACAGTCGCGGATTTCGAGGTGGAGCAGGGAGGGGAGGAGGTGGAGACCTGAAGGGAGGGAGGCGAGGGAGGGGTTTTTGAGGATGAGGAGGCGGCAGAGGGATGGGAGGGGGTGGGGAGAGGAGGGCTGGGTTGAAGGCTGAGGGGATGGATGGGGGGCATGAGCAGTAAGGGGAACGTGGGAGGCAGCAGCGCCTGTAGAAGACGCAACAGAAGCAGAAACAGCAGCAGCAGCAGCCGCAGTTTCAGTAGCAGCAGCGGCAGCAGGAGGAGGGAGGGTTAGTGGTGGCAGCGTGTAAAGCAGCTTGCAGCGAGAGAGCTCTAACTCCCGCAAGCCCACGAGGTTGCCCCACCCTGCGGGCATTTCCCTCAGCTTGCTTCAGTTGGAGATGCACAGCCGCTGCAGGCGAGTCAGCTGGGTGAACGATGCTGGCAGCTGCTGAAGCTCGTGGCACCCATGGATTTCTAGGGCAGTTAAGGAATTCGCGAGCTGCCCGAACATGCTCGGGAGGTCAGTGAAAGCGGTTCTTGACGTATTTCCGTCATAGTAGGAACGAACCGGGTCAAACATGTAGGTTGCTACACCTAGCTCTCGATCTTCCCTTTTAGTCACCAAACCCTTCCATCCGAGAGTAAGGCTTTCGAGGCCGGGCAGTTGCGAAAGCGATTCAGGGAGGGTTTCCAGCCTTTCGCAACCAGCTATTTCCACTGTCCGGAGCGCCGTCAGCTGCCCGATATTTTCGGGCAGGGTTTCTATATTGTTACAGCCATGGAGGGTAAGGTTTTCAAGCTGAGTGAGAGTGGCCGGCAGAGGGTGCCGAAACGCGCAGCGATCTACAATGAGCCGCCGCAGCTTCCGCAGCTGAACGAACGATCCCGGCAAATCGCATGCCACTTTGTTCAAATGCAGCTCAGTCAGCGCGGACAGCTGCCCGAAATCTTCGGGCAGCGAACTTAAGGAGCACTCGAGAAGCTGCAGGCGAGTGAGGGAGTTCATTCCCTCGAAAGACGCCGGCAGTGACGCTAGAACCATACTCCCCGCCGCGTGAAGGTACGTTAGGGAGGAGAGGAGAACGAGAGAGTCCGGAATAGCCGTAAGGGAGCTAAGCTTGTCGAGAACGAGGGATGCGAGGCGGGGAACGTCACCGATATCCTCCGGTAACGAGGCGAGGGCAGTGCAGTGATAAACGGTGAGCGCAGTGAGGGAGGAGAGGGCGGAGAACGAGGGCAGGAGGGCGGATAAGGAAGAGCAGGACTTGATGGTCAGTTCTTGCAGCGAGGGCAGCTTTCTGACGCAGTCAGGAAGCGATCACAGGTGCTGGATGCTGGCAATAAAGAGGTGTTTGAGGGAGGAGAGGTGGGAGAAGGAGTCTGGGAAAGTGCTGACAGCGATCGCGCGCAGATGGAGGGTTTCGAGGGACGATAAGAGGCCGATGGAGTCGGGCAGGGATTGCATGTGAAATGAGCCCGCCACCTCCAGGTGTTGCAGTTTTTTTAGCTGCCCGAGACCGTCGGGCAGCTGCCGGAGGGAACTGCAGCCGTCGAGTTTCAGCGAGGTGAGGGAGCGGAGGCGGGAGAGGGTGTGCGGGAGGGCGCGTATGCAAGAAACGCGGATGCTAAGCGAACGTAACGCGGTCAGCGAACCAACGCCCTCGGGGAACCGCGCCTCGGGCTCTGACGCCGCAGCGGCATCATCATCACCATCATCGACCGCCCTGGAAAAATAATCGAGCTGGCCGCACGAAACTTCCAGCCTCGTCAGCCGCTGCAGGAGGCTCACGGAAGTGGGCAGCTCGGGCAGGCACAGGGGCAGTGTGAGTTTCAGGCTGACCAGGCGGCGGCAGGCGGCGAAAAGCGCGGTAACGGCGGGCTCTGTTACTGTCGCGACGGCGTCGTCAGGGTATTCAACACGGAGTTCCCGCTGCCAGGAGCGCAGGTTCCTGTGGCGGTACAGCGACATGTGCGTGAGGGAGCGCGCGCACCCCGTGGCGATGGAGAAAAGGAGATCGTCTGTTATGGCGTCTAGCGCCGATGGGCCGATGTGCAGGTGCTGCAGGGTGAGCGGGGAGTGGAGGGGAAAGGAGTGGGAAACGGCGGAGGCGGAGGCGGGAGTGGGAGTGGCGAGGGAGAGGGAGAGGGGTAGGGGAGGAGATGAGGGGGAAGGAGGAGGTGGGGAGGAGAGGAAGGAGCGGAAGGTTTGGGTGGAAAGGCGGCGGTAGGCTTGCAGGAGGATGGCGGGGAGGCTGAAGCGCGCCAACCGGAGCCAGCGCTTGCACACGAGTGCGTGGTGGAACACGGTGAATGGCGGAGGCGGAAGCGGACAGGGAAGCGGAGGCGGAAGGAGCGTGGAGGTCGTGCGGGCTCCGGAAGGGGGGGGCAGAAAGGCGGAGGCGAGGATATGTGCAGCTGACGGTGAGTTCGGTTTGTCCTGGTCGATAGGGACTGTCATGGTTCGATCGTAGTTGGCGGCGGTCGTTGCGGCCTCGAGAGCTATGGCGGTGGTGAGCTCAACAACGCGTACGAAACGCGCGCACGGTTTCTTCACTGCCCGCTCGATGAACTCGAACATTTCGTCCTCGCTCTTTTCGCCAAGACCATCGTCGTCCTCGTTGTTGCCGGCACCATCACTCACGTCTCCACCGGCATTAGCCTCCGCAGCGGCACAAACGGCGACAGCGGCGGCGGCGGCGGTAGTGGCGGCGTCAGAAGTAGCAGCGTCGGTTGTGAGGCACGGTTTGGGGTGGAAACTAAATCCGTTGGAGGCGACGAGAGCAAGTATGTGAGAGACGAGATCGTTAGAGAGACGCGCGAAAGGATCGGTTTCGAGGCGGCGTGGTGACGAACCGATGTTGAACGAATCCATTTCAGACGCCACGTCGTCGAAGTTGCGCGGCAGACGGGACGAAGGAGCCGCACGTTGTGACTTGTGTGAAAGCCGTCGAAGGAAGAAAGGTGCGAGACTCTCTGGCGCTGTGAGCCACGGAGGTAGAGGATAAGAGTGAAAGAGAAAGGGGAAGTTTGGTCAGAGCTAGCTAAGGCAAGTAGCGGGGTTTGAAATATGGTCACTCAGAGTAGAGTTAGAAACTTCAGTCCTCTAGAGATTTCTCGGCACAGTGAATGATGATGCATCACCGTACAGATACCTGTCAGTAGATCTGCACTGTGGATGCCCGATTGATCCTGGAGAGGGTTACAGGCGCGTTTGCCTGGGGGGTTATGGGCGCACTGACCCGCTACTGAAACAAGCCCTTTTATCCCAAGGGTCTAATGGTTGGGATTCTGACATGGTATCAGAGCGGTCTCGGGTTCGATTCCCGGTGTATGCACATGTAGGCCGTTGCCGCTGTGCTTAGTCCTGGGCCTCCCAGTGTGGGGGGGTGTTAGTAGATCTGCACTATGGATGCTCGATTGATCCTGGAGAGGGTTACAGGCGCGTTTGCCTGGGGGGTTATGGGCGCACTGACCCGCTACTGAAACAAGCCCTTTTATCCCAATGGTCTAGTGGTTGGGATTCTGACAATACCCACTGAACCGAACGGAAATACATTAAACAGCAGACTCTTGAGAAGATTAGAACGAGAAATGAAATGACTATGGAAATGAAAGTGATACAAGTATGCAACCCTAGAAATGTGTACCCCATATGGGCTACCCTACTATAGACTACACAACATTATAATTTGACACAACCCCATAGGCAAAGTGGGGGAGAACAAGGGGTCACAAGACCAGTCAAGTAAAGCAAAGCAAAGCTCAGGGTGGATCACAAAGTCACCACACATTCCGAGCACAAGTTCAAGGCCACAAGGACAGTTCACATGCAGGAGCACACACACATATATATATATATATATATATATATATATAAGAGGCTAAGCAAGCAAGAGCAGGAGTATATATATGTGACAGTACAAGCAAGGTCAAGAAGTGAGCAAGTGAGGCAGGACAGGCACAAGACCAAGCTGAGTACAGAAGCGCTGATGATCACAAGGCGCAAGTGCCTTGGTGAGAACATCAGCAGTGTTGGCCTCAGAGGCCACGTACGCAAGCCGCAACTGACCACGCTGCTGTAGCTCACGAGCAAGGAAGTAGCGGAGAGCAATGTGCTTTGTTCTGTGCTCCAGTCGCTGCTCTCGACACAAGGCCAGCATGGCCTTGTTGTCTACGTACAGGACTGGAGGAGAACGAGGCGGCTCTCCAAGGTCGGTCAGCAGGTAGGTGAGCCAGCGAAGCTCCTGAGCAGCCATGGCCCCGGCGTAGATCTCAGCCTCACAACTGGAGCCGAGAACAGAAGACGAGCGAGTAGCCCGCCACGAAACAGAGCCGGAACCAAGGCTGAAGGTGTAACCCTGTGACGACCGCTGCATAGCCTGGTCGTCAGCCCAAGAAGCGTCCGCGTGCCCAGTGAGGACCACTTGACTCTGCCCTCCAAGCACTAGCCCCATGCCCGACGTACTGCACAAGTAGCGCAACACCCTCTTCGCTGCAGCCATGTGCTCTGGTCGGTGTCTCCCAGGAGCAACATAGCGTGCGAGAATGCTAAGAGGGTATGCAAGGTCAGGTCGTGTGCAGGTCATCAGGTACATGAGGCAGCCAACAAGCTCTGGATACGGGCCACTCGACTCTACGAACTCATCCGAAGGCAGAGCTGAGAGTGAGTGGCGAGTATGCAGAGGAGTGGCCTGAGGCGAGGAGTACGTGAAGCCGAAGCGCTGAAGGACGTGCTGCACCATGTGTGACTGAGTCAGGGTAATAGTGCGGCGTGCTCTGTCCCGGGTGATCTGCAAGCCAAGGTAGCTGCGCAGTTCACCCAGGTCAGTGCACGTGTGTCTCTTTTGCAGCTCGGACTTCACGTAGGCGAGTCCAGCAGTGTCAGCTGTGGCAAAGACCAAGTCGTCGACGTACACGAGGATGTAGAACGGCGGCAGAGAGGTGTCGGTGCGCAGAAACAGCGACGGGTTGGCAGTAGAAGGAGCAAACCCAAGAGCCGCAAGTGTAGTCCTCAGTGTGTCGTGCCACTCACGTGGCGCCTGGCGGAGACCGTAGACTGGACGTCGGAGACTCCACTGGGTACCAGGAGGGAAAGGCCCAATGAAGCCAGGTGGGCGGCGCAGCCAGATCTCCTCGTGCAGGCTACCCTGCAAGAAAGCAGTGCTGAAGTCGAGAGAGTGCAGCTCGTAGTCACGGTGAGCAACAACGTGCAGCAGTACCCGAAGAGTGGTCATCTTCGGGGTGGGGGAGAAGGTCTGAAAGTAGTCAACTCCCTGCCGCTGACTGAAGCCACGAGCCACGTAACGTGCCTTGAAGACAGGCGGAGAACCCGGCGGCCGCTTCACCCTGAAGATCCATATGCCACTGACGATGTTCGCCCCAGGAGGGTGGACAGCGTCAACGTAGGTGCCTGTGGACTTCCAGGAAGCCATCTGTGCATCCATAGCTGCCTGCCACTGAGAGGAGTAGGGACCCTCTATCGCCTCCGCGTAAGAGCGAGGAGTCGGGATGTCAAGTGCATCCGGGTCTCCCTCAGGGGTAAGCAGTACGGACACGAGATGAGATGAAGCAGCGGCTAGACACTGGAACTCCTCCTGTCTGTCCTCAAGGACGTCCGTGCCAAGGGCACACTCACCCCCGACGGACGGAGGATAGACAAACTCAGACTCAGCGACAAGACTAGCAGCGTAGTCTAGGCGACAGCGAGCAGCAAAGTCGACGAGCTCAGCAACTAGGGCAGACGCAGCAGTGGACTCGAAAGAGGGGTCAGTGACGACAGTAGCAAGGAGACGCGTGACAGTAGGACTGGCAACACGAAGAGAGTCCGACCCCGGGTCGGGAAGAGCAGGAAGAGAGGACTCAGGAGGAGAAGGCAAAGGGGCACGCAGAGGAGCAGTAGACGGACGCAGTGACATCCGGTGCATGCCAGGGACAGGAGGAGGACGCGGACGCGAACCACGACCACTAGCGCGAGTAGGACGGACAGGCGACGTAGGGCGAGACGCAGGCTCACGACGCTCAGTAAGACCTCCAGTAGGACCACCGTAGGGAGAAGGAGCAGGCAAAGGGGAGGTAGGCTCTAGCTGTGGCTGTGACGGGACAGGCTGTGGACCCTCTAAGGGAGGAGGAGGACCAGTAGAAGGTGGAAGACCAAGAACCTGCCGCAGGAGTGGAATGAAGTACGATCGAGGCCGCGTGGCGACGCCAGAAACAGCAGGGACAGCACAAGTACCCCCAGTAGGAGCACCCGCTCCAGCACCACCTCCAGCAGCTCCAGAACCTCCAGCAGCACCAGGAGCACCCCCAGCAGGACCGCTAGAGGTAGTCTCAGCGCCAACACCCTCAGCAGCACCAGCTCCAGTCGAACCTGCAGGCCCAGCAGCTCCGGTACTCCCGGTACGAGCACCTCCGGGACCCGCGACAGCAGCACCCTCAGTAGCCGAAGAACCTCCAGCACCAGCAGCACGGCTCCAGCGCCGGGCAAACCACTCGCGCAGCTCCTGTGGAGAGAGTGGCTCCCGTCAAGACGAAGCACCCGGAGAACCTCCAGGCGAAGAACCTTCAGGCTCAGCACCCCCAGGCCCAGCACCCCCAGGCAAAGCACCCCCAGGCGTAGCACCCCCAGGCTCAGCACCCCCAAGCTCAGCACCCCCAGGCTCAGCACCTCCAGGCGTAGCACCCCCAGGCTCAGCACCCCCAGGCTCAGCACCCCTAGGCACAACACCCCCAGGCTCAGCACCCCCAGGCTCAGCACCCCCAGGCTCAGCACCCCCAGGCCCCGCACACCCAGGCCCAGCACCCCCAGGCTCAGCACCAGAGTCACTAGTGACCTCGACAGGCTCGACTGCGTCTACCTGGGACACACCTGAAGGGGCAGGACCCTGAGGAGGGAGGGGGTCTACCGGGGGGGGACCTGGTACAAGGAAGAGCGGGGGCGGGGGGAGGGACGGAGTGCGGTAGGGGAAGAGGCGGTAGTAGGGGACCGACTCGTCGAACGTGACGTCCTGGGAGGACAGAACACGGCGAGAGGTGGGGTGGTAGAACTGCCACCCACGCGCGTCAGGGGGGAACCCCAGGAAGACGCAAGGAGCAGCGCGAGGGGACAGCTTGTCCGCAGACAAGTCGCGGACAAATTTCCGAGATCCCCAGACCCGGAACGCCGACGCATCGCCAACCTTCCCCGTCCACAGCAGGGCTGGGGAGGTCTCCGGCCTAGAGACCCTGGGGTGAAGGTTGATCTGATGCGCCGCGTACCTGACCGCAAACGGCCACAAAAAATGGGGGGCAGCCGCATGCATCATAGACGTACGAGCGACGTCCATGACCATGCCGATGCGGCGCTCAGCAATCCCATTTTGCTGCGGAGAGTCCGGAAGCGTGAAGGTCTGACGGATGCCTTGTGCACGACAGTAGGCTCGCAGAAGGCCAGAGGAGAACTCTCCGCCTCTGTCCGAGTGCAGACGCAGAACAGGAAAGTCCGAGCCAAAGCTCTGCCTGAGCTGGAGACGAGCTGCGCGGATCCAATCGATCGGCACCTCAGTGACATCACCCTTGCTGCGCAAGGGGAAGACTGTGATGTAACGCGAGTAGTCGTCAACAACGAGCAGGAAGTAGCGCTCGTGACCCTGTCCACGGACGCGGGCTGGGCCCCACACGTCCATGTGAAGCGTCTGCGACGGGGCCTCTGTCGGAGGAAACTGGGAGGAGGGAGGGGCAGCACGCTGGCGCCCCTCGACACAGGGGACACAGGTAGGGCCAGGGCCCTGAGGAAGGGGAGGGAGGGACCGGGGGAGACCAGACACAAGAAGACGGGAGGCCATGCCTCTGAGCCGAAGCAGAGAGGGGTGACCAAGGCGGTGGTGCCAGAGGAGA